AAAATGACCGGGAAAAGACCAGTCGGTAGGCCTCGTGCAAGATGGACGGACTATATTGCGAATCTTTCCCACCAGAGACTCGGTACACCACCTGCCGAACTTGGGTCAGTTGCCCAGGGTCGCGAGCACTGGAAGATGCTCCTCCACCTGCTCGAACCGCCCTTCTCCCCCATTAAGTTGGCATAAGCGGTTTCGAAAACGTGTGTACGTATGTTGTTGCATTGATCTAACCTGAGTCCTTGAGTTTCATTCAAGTAGCCTATCCCGTAAATCTTTGGATCGAGTTTTACTAACTTCTTATTTCTATTAAATATATTTTGACCCTTTAATTCAAATAATGACACTGGAGCCAGCAGTGCCAGCCTTAAAGGACTTCCCTCGAAGGACTCTTAGTGTCCTCAAGCGCCGAATTTTCTAGCGAATCAAGCAGTATCCGCATTCAAAATCTAATCGACAGTCACTGCGGCACTCTCTCGGATTGAAAAAAATGAAGAAGTCATCAAGACGGTGAAATCTGAAATGAAATGCCACCGATTCGATCCTTGCGGACGAGAGCCTCCGTGCGACCCAGTTGTTTCTCACGATCGTCCAAGGGATTGGAACCGCGGTGCCGACCGGAGTTCAAGGTCCCGGTGACCTGGACCCCAGACTAAATGTCTGCACAAACGATTACGAATCCACTCAGACGTGCTCGCCCAATTTCGCCGGGGAATGAGGGTTTGGGAACTGGCAGGAGCCTCGAGGAAAGACGAATGGACTTTCCCTTTCGTTCACGCGTCCCTGACCTTCATGGGACTTGCTGATCCAGAGACCCTTTTACAGATTTACGACTTGTCTTCTCCCCTCGGTCACCCAGATGGTATCTCAAACCTTTTGTCAGTAAAAGGCATGCTCTTTTTTTTTCTTCTTTTTTTCCCACTCCTTCCCATTCCTTTTGTACCCTCTGGAATGTCGATCTTCCGTCGTTGCGTCGTTCTCGTCCTCTCATCCGTGACGGGAAAAAGCCTTGCATCAGCTGCTTTCTTCCACCGGACGGTCTTGTTCCGTGAAAAAACTAACTCGGCGGGTAGTGAATGTGTGAAATGCCATGGGTGATCATTCAGTCTTAGGTCTATAGCTTCAAGAAGAGGTTAGACGACATGGGGGGGGGGGGAAATGAGCCGGGGGGAGGGGGCGGTAGAGTAATTTTATCCGTTTAAACCATGACACGGACCTGTGAGATTTATACCGGTGAATTTTTATTTCCTAAACCATTACAATAATTGATTTGTCGGTTTCTTACCCAGATATTCCATTAATATATTTAATGTTCTCTTCAAAAATCGAAATAATGCGTGTTCTTTTGGTAGTTGGTCCCATCGACCTGACCTCTGGAAACATTGGGCCATGCATCCTATGGTTAAACGGCCTTTGGTAAAGGTGCCGACAGACTTACTGGGGACTTGGGTCCAGAACTTGGTTTGGACTGTTGAGTTTGGACAAAAAGGGAGGCTACTAAAAATGATACGGTCCTGGATGTTCTGAGTTAAACTTTTCAGTAATTTCCGATAGTGGTCATTAACAGTTATGCATCGAATCTAATCCGCGTAAAAGAATTAAGGGAAAAATATCATACGTCATACGCCAAATATGCCATTTATACTATTAATATTAACAGAATGTCTGTCTGTCTGTCTGTCCCTGTCTAACCAAACTTTGCATGGCTTCCTCATTTGTTCTCCGGAGATGGTCATAGGCTAGGTGGCGTTTCAAAATTCTGACCCCCCGGGATACCTTATTTAGCACATATTTAGTACTTATTTGGCCGATTCACTACTACAGACCTCCCAAAGAAGTCAACATTTTTGGGGGGGGGGGGGGGCAGTACTAAATTGTAGAGGGACTCCATGTTACTTAATAAATTTCCGTTGCACCTCGCAGCGCAGCGCAGCTTAGTATGCCATATTATATTGATGCGGTGAAGTACCTCATCATCGTGGAAACAACTATTAATTCAACTGCGCCGGGGTGCCAATATTGTAACCAAGGTATATGAAGTGCCCCGGCATTTCCAGGGAAGGACGATTCTTATCCAGTCAGGAATTTATCCCCAGGCCAAGTGTGTTTATCTCCATACAGTCAGATGTTCCAAGCTTGGCCCACGTCCAGGAACCACACATGTACACGTGCGTCACGGCTTAACCTAAATGTCCGCGTTTTCTGTGACACGCAGTCTAATACGGTGAAGAGCAACCGCGGCCCACGGGCCGCACGTGGCCCGCGAGGTCCTGCTGTGCGGCCCGCGGGGCTTTGCCAACTGAATTTTTTTTTTCTTTCCTGTCATCTGCCATCCGGAGCAGAGCGAACGTGCGCTCAAGGATTCTGCTGCCCACTGCCGAAGAAACGGAAGCAATAAATAAAACATAAAATCGGTATTTCCGCCACGACTACAAATATCCTCTTACTTTCTTCTTGGTCAGTGTATCACTGCTCTCTTGAGTAAGCGGCGTGCTTAGTATTTTGCTCAATGAAAAGGTGTAAAAAAAATTCTAAATTAGTTCTTTGCATGCCATTAGCATCTACTATTTTAGTACTTGGTTTACTAAGCCAGGCTTAGGTTTATTTTGATACACAGCAGGCATGAAGCCTGTAATTCAGTATTTTAAAAAATACATGCGGCCCGCCGGGAACTTAAGAGGTTCACTTGCGGCCCGCAGTAAAAAAAAAAAAAAAAAATGTTTCTCAACGCTGATCTAATACATCTGTGGGCCAAGTGTGGCTCATGTGTATGGCAAGTCCGCGACAAGCAGAGCCACGATTGCATATCTACATGTGCAAGCATGGTATGCGTGTGCCACTCAATATATGTCCGCTTTTTCTGCGACAACCTAATCATAGTACTAACTAAGGTACGTCTCAGGGAGAGATCCATCCCCTCACGTTCGTTGAATTCATGTATACTCCACGAGTATTCACGAATTCAATTCCTAGTTACCTCATTTCGACCTTAGAGCGAAAAACCGGGAAGAACCCTAGGATTCTACTTTTCGGATGGTGCCATTCTAAAATCTACCCGAGCAAGAAATAGGTAATAGAAAACTTGCAGGGCAATGCAAGTGAAACGATTCATTCGAACAGAACCAAGCCAAGAGTGAAGTCATGATCCAACTTTCGTGAATGGATACTTGCTCTGGGTTTCAGACCGACACGCAGCGGCGGCTCGTGATATTTGGCGCTCGTGGTTCCTCCCCCTGCCTACCTCCCCATCACCCTATGGAGAGGGTGATAGGGAGGCAGGGGAGGGCGCACTGCCTCCCCCGTTGTCCGTTCGAATTGTACCGCGCCTTCCAAGAAAAATGAGGGAAATTGGCCCGTGGCCATCGCCTCTCCGTGATATCTCAATCGACTCGTTGGGGATTCACCCTGCCATCGTCTTGCAGATGAAAGTCCTGATCTATTCTTGACTTCAAATAGCTGCTGCTTAAGGGAAGTAATCCTTTGGAATCTATCCCGCCCACTTGCATATCACGTTGATTATTCCGACACGAAAGAAGAAGACTGCTGACTGGACCGAGAAAAGCAATTAATCGTGACAGACGCCTTTCCTCCTCTCGCCTCTCCTCGATCGTCTCATTCGTAAAAGGGGAAAATCCGTTCCTCCCCGGTGTGGGAAAAACCCGCATATCTCACGTGATGATCGTGGCACGGCGACGGTCGGTTGCAGAGGGCCAACTTGCCCTCCAGGGTTTCATTTCCCTTCTTCGTCACGCGGGGGAAACCAATATAACAACCCGTCCTCATGTTTTATGCATGAAGGTGGAGGCCCCCTCCCTCTTTTCGGGGATTCCCCTCCCCTGCAGACCTTCATCAAAATTCAAGGACAGCCCTCTCCTCGCGCCCCGCTTCGACCACGCAAAATTCCCCCGGAAAACCCAAATTTCGTCGACGATGATGCTCTCTCAGGTTCCGCCCCCCCCCCCTCCCCCCCCCCCCCCCCCTCCCGAGTTCTTGTTCATCTCGAGATAGGCGACGGTGCACAGTTCCCCTCAGAGCGTGGTGACCCTTCACCATCAGCCGCTTCTTGCAAATAACTTCCAATTTACGTAAGTTCCCTAGACGACTATCGCTCTCGACGGTCGTGACGATTCGTTGCATACACCTTGAAGGCAAATATAAGTTCAATCCACATGGGCTCATGCATCTAGCCGAGTCGTTTCTTCGGTACGTACTTTTTGATCCAAAAAAAATTTGTGGAATTCTTCAGAAGCGAATTTGTCTGAAGTGTGAGCTTCCCAATCGAAGATAGATTGCACGTAAAAGCGTCTGCATCGATTTCCATCAATACATCAAAGCCGTATACAATGAAGAAGCGTTTTAGATCAGACGAGAACGGAGAATTAATGCTCTATGGAGATCGACAATATTTCAAAGCGCTCTTAGAGACCAATGTCCAAGTAAAATAGATTCGCGGGAGCTTTGACTTTCGTCACAAGGTTAATAGAATAATAAAGAGTTATGTTTCTATTAAATTCTTAATTTAAAAAAATGCATGATCCTTCGCTAAAAGTTGCATTGCGACACTTTCTTACGGTACTGTAAGTTGGGGTGACTTGTAACGGTGCAGTGACTTGGAGATTTTTTTGTGCAAATTTATGCTAATGCAAATGATATACAGGGTAGGATAGCAAAGTTCACCCTTATTAATTTGATCGCTTCATGTAAAATAATTGAGACGCGCTCATGCAATTGAAAAGTGAATAGCGCGACTCTTCCCTGATCGAATGCATTTCATTTCGAAGACATACGACAAATAGCTTTTTTGCAACTCTGCGAGGTTGAAAATCGTTACTACAACATAATTGGGATTTTAAAAAAAGTGATAATTACGAATGTAGATGCTTGCCAAACGAATACGAAACAAATTGTTGAAGCAAATTCCGCTCGATCCGTGATCCACTCCGGGATTCCTTGCTGGATTTCGCTTGCCGCCCTGTAACACTCGGACTTATTTCGCACTGGAGATGGAAAACGCGAGCGAAAACGCGGCGAAGCGCTTCCCGAGGCGCTGGCCGGTGGAAGTCGATCGGGTGAGCGTGGGGTCTGTTGTGGGTCTGTTGAGGGTCTGTTGAGGGTCTGTTGAGGGTCTGTTGAGGGTCTGTCGAGGGTCTATCGAGGGGCGATTCGAGGTGTCTTCGTTGGGGGTCTGAGGGGGCATTTCTCGGGAGTCGATGTCTCCTGGCTTTTTTTTAAATTTTATTATTATGTTTTAATCCGTCTCTTCTATCTCTCTCTCGGGCGTCCGCAGAGCCCGAGTTCCCACCTCCGATCTCTCGCAATGAGGTTTCAGAGACTGTACGAGGCATATCGCAATATCGCAGAACAGATTCGCGAGTATGGAAAGTACTCCAGTCGCAACCAAATCGGAGCACTTTTTTTTTCCTGCTCTGCTCGATTCCTGCTGAAAACATTAGGAAAAACTGACTCTGGATGCCCTCGTAGCTCATGAAGTTGCAGACCAATGTGTTTATACTGTAATCTTGAGGGAAAAACCATTTTCTCTTGATGTACTTTTTGAAAAACTGAATGCAAAATACTATTACAATCATAATCAGTTAATGACGTACCGAATACTAAATATTTATTTATTTATTTATTTATTTATTTATTTATTTATTCATGAGGTCGACATTCAACGACAGCGAAAGGAGAGAAAACGAAATGCAAAGAAAAGGGAAATCCCTACAACGAAACCTGCAATGTTAAGACGCGGGTCGTCAAATTCTGCAACTTAACTGTGCAAAACATATTCCTTGTGAAGCTACATTTAGTTTATATTGACGTCAGTGACGAATGAAATGCACTTATTTGAGATAGCTGGACTGAATCCCTTGGGCGTTAAGAAAAGGTAAGTTTCGCGCGGATTAAGAAAGTTCGAACACGTTAGGGGTGACATGTAGGTCTACGTATTATCGTTACTCTGGCGAATGATATCTCGTAATTTTCAAGCAATTTTGATCTCCATGGGAATCTATTTCCGATTCCGCAACACCCTGCAATACAAGGTGAATCTGCAGAAATGGCCTCGTGCCGGACTTCGGCTTTGAAACTGTCCTCTCACGGACTCTCATGGACACGCCATTGCCTCACTAATTGTTTTCCGTGTCTTCTGCAGCACAGGGCGGCGTCGCAGTCAGAGACACCATGGAGACGACAGCTTTCGGGTCGAACAGCACCGCCGACGACTCGGGCGAGCGCGGAGGCCTCGCAAATCCGAGACCCGCGGTGTTGGCGCTTCCTCTTGCGCTCGGGACGTATCAACTGACCCACTTCGCCATGAAACGCTGGTTAGAGCCGTTGGGATGGAAAGTCATGAGTCCTCTCATCCCACCCGAGCAAAAGCGCGACTGTGCGGCCAAGTTCGCCGAACGGGCATGGGAACTGATCGTGTACGTGATTCTTTTCGTCTGGGACGCGGTGGTTCTCTGGGACAAGCCGTGGATGTGGGACGTCACCCTCACCTGGGACGGATTCCCTCATCATCCCGTGGAACGCGACGTCTGGTGGCTCTACATGGCGCACGTCGTCGCGAGCGTTTGGTTTCTGGTCGCTGTGCTCGTCCACACCGGGAAGAGGAAATGGCCCTTGTTCTTCCATCACTGCATCGTCTTGGTCGCCGTCTATATCGGCTGGTTCGCGAACGGCTGTCGGTTCGCGTGTCTCATGTTCGCACTGTACGAGGTCTCCGACGTTTTCCTCGTTGCGGCTCTCTCGTTTCACGAACTGGGACGGAAATTCTGCAGGAACATCATATTCGCTCTCACGTTGACTGTCTTCGTTCCCAGCAGAGTTCTTGTCATACCGATCATAACAGTTCGTGGTCTCTTGAGTGTGAAAGTCATCACGGGAGTCATGTATGCAATTTCGTTCTTTCTCTTTGTATTGACTGGATTAAGCATCTATTGGGCTAGAGGCATGTATTCCGTACTCAAGAGATCCAAATTGCCCAGCTTGCCATGCTTCACCGACTTGCTAAATTTCATCCTTCAACCTATGGAGCCTAAGCTACGAAAACAACTAAAGATTCTCTTGAAACGAACATGATTTTATTCTTTGTTTTTGTTTTTTTTTTAAGCTTGTGTATGTATCTCAATATTTTTTTATTACTATTTTGCACTGATTTTTTTAAATATTCAAGTTTGAAATTTTATACACTATGAATCTGTATGCATGGCATGCACAATGTTCAGGAATGCATGTATGATGATCACGTGATGAAGGGACGTTTCCAGGAAATGAATTTCTGAATCCACCCGAGGGACGTCATGGATGCAATCACCGTGACTGACCCTTTCCACGAGAAAATGGTGTGCAATCCGAGTTGAAGTTGACCCCCTGGTAATTTTCTTTTCAAACGCAACATCTTAAAAAAAAGCAATTTCATGCCCTTCCGGGACGGAGAGTGGACGATGCGAACCAAGTGAGTCAGCAACGGTCAAGCTCAATTGTTTTCGCAACTTGCAATCTCCAATTAGCAAGCAAAAAATTGGGGTCCCACACGTGCCCAGGACGTGACGCGTCCATGGAATATTTGTTGCCTTAAGAATGGCTTACTTCTTGTTAATGCTCAGCTTCGGCTCCCATTCCGAGTCCGTTATCGTTTCTAGGATCATTCTAATATGCTGTTCGCTGAACGTCGCGTTCCTTATCCCTGCAATAATCGAATTTCATGCTGTGTACATATCTGAGAGTCAATCGGACGTGTATGATACTTTATTTTTAAGATCCTCGGTAAACACAACCCCAAGTGCTGGTATGATTTTATGGCTTTATGAGTCTACAGCTACCGATTTCCAAAGAAAGAGCTGTGAATGGTACAGTGTATAATATGTTTTGTGTCATTCTGAAACAATCCTTTTCACTGGAAAATAAAAATATTTTTTTGTCATTCATATGATTTCCTCTACATACTTCCTTTCTTCGCTCTCCTCCATTGTCTCCTATGGATCCGTCAACCGCCAGGGCTGGAAGGGAAGTGGATGTTTTCGTGGAAGACTGGCACCCCGACCCAGGCGGAAAGCTGCGTGTGCGCATTGGATTGGGTTGTCCGGTCGCTATGGTTACTACAGACAGACGGAATGAAAAAAAACTAGAGAGTACCAGCCCAGATACAGATCTGGCATTCCACTGGCCCCTGTACCACTGGAATTATTCGAAAGCATCGATAAAATCGACAACACAATCAGATATACCTGTAGATTATCAGCATGAAAGCATCACTTGACAAAAGAATTCAAGGGACGAAGAGCGGGAGAATCCACACTGGCAACAATACAAAGGAGAATAGGGCGTCGAAGTAGAAGGTGTCCATGCGGAAGGAAACACAGAGTGAACGAGAATGGAACTAACGCAGAGAGCGGGAATCTTCCCAGGAAGGCTCTTCCGTTCGGGAGAGGATATATTGAGGAGGAAGGTGGTGACGAAGAGCAACGCAGACAGGGGGGCGAGTACGAAAGAGTCCAAGAGAGTCTCCGTCGGTAACTTCAAAGGCGATGGGTTTCATTGCCCCGAAGACGTCCCTGGTGTAGGGCATATGCAATAAATGTCTCGGTAGGTATACCGTGGCTCAATACCACAGTATACCGGTGATACTGGCGAGGAGCGGGGGGAGGGGGAGTTGCTTCAGCTACGAACTTCCAGAAAAAAGCCCGCGAAGAGAGTGAGTCTTTCTGTTGTGATGGCGTGAAGCTAGTCGTGCACGGTATAATGGAATAATACCGCGATTAAACCCAAGTATTAATAGCATGTAGGTGGTGGCCCACTACCTACATTTGGAGAAAAGAGCTGGTGGCCCACTTCATTGGGTTGTGGGCCACCAGGTACATGTCCCACTTGCCAGCACTGGCCCGCCACTTTCCGGGCCGCTAAAGGGCCAGCACATTACCAGTTTGTTCGTTTGTGGTGTACCACCAGCTGGGAAGGGTCCTAATGCCTTTATGTATATCCTGAAATCATCCTAGGAAGAAGCTGAATTAATTAATACAAGCCTTAAAACGTGCATCTGAAGATATCTGCATAAAATTCTTCTAAATCGACTCCTACTAAGAAAAAATGTTATCATTGGCAGGACCATATGCCTCAGCATATGGTCCTGTCAATGATAACATTTTTTCTTGGTTCGCCTTGTAACCTTGTGAGCAAGACGGCCTGATAGTAAATGTGTTGAGAAGAGAAAGAAGAAATAAAAAAGATTTGAGGATGGACAAGGTGCGACATACTTGAAGAGAAGGAACTGAAAACCATGGCAGATGTTTCCAGAAAGTCGGGTGTTTCTTCCGAACGCATTCCCATGAGGCCTGAAGTCGATAGGAATGTGACTGGCCGAATTTCCGAGTTATCTCAACACCTCATCAATAAGTCATTTGAATTGCTTCAAGAATGATTCTCTTTAAGTCGCATACATGACTGTCATTGAGAAATTCGAATGATGCTCGATCATATGATTTATTATTTATGTTTCTCTGGAGATGCGAGATATCGTCAGAAACAGGCTAAAGCATCGACGAGATGTTCCCTTGAGGCTGATGCATGGACCACTGCAGTGATGATACAATAAAGAATCATCACCTCGTCCTTCTGCAGAAAGAGATGTCAGCCTAGTTAAGGAGAGTGAGTGCAAGAGGGCAAGTCACTGAGTTCGGAAACACCGTCGAAGATGGACCGGAATTATTAGAAAATGGTATCCAACGAACAATAGAGGATGGTAGAAAATGAGATTGAGACAAGACAATACGAGACTAAGTTATCGGAGTAGTGAATTCGGACTTACTGGTGGGAGCAGTGAGTTGAAAATTGTCAATGATAATTTCAAGAAAATGAAATTAGAGAGGGTACATTTTGATTGTATGTTCAACAAATCATGCGAAAAGGCTGTACTATCGACACTTCCTTGAAAGTATATACTGACTGTCTACAATTTAGGCTTTCATAAAATAACTGAGATAGAACTGGCTCGTCGCTTCTGACTTCTCTTTGATTATTACTCATGTTCCTGGTCTTCCAGTGTCCAGTAACAAAACCATAAAAGGGTTTAGTTTTTCGTGCCAAAAATTGTCGCAGCCAGGGATCTATATACAGTAGTTTGGTGAATGATTCTCAGAACGATCTGCGGCAAAACCCAGGTAAGTTTGGCAGATAACAAGAAAGGTTGTATCTACGGTCTTTAATTAGGTTTCACCCAAGACATGAAAAACGAAAAATTTGAAAAGGCCCCAACGGCTCTGACAAGCCCTAGTTAGTCGTAACACAACTAAAAGTAGGAATGTTTGCTGGAATTTTGGCTATGCTCGAGGGAAATACATGAAAGGAACAATATTGTGATCTATGAGGTAACATTTATTTTGACATCGCCGAAGCAACGAAGCAACTGGAACAACGGGGGAAGCGAGATTCAGTCACAGAGTTGAGAGAGGGCAGCAACTCCCCGCATGACCCAATGGCTAGGAGGAAGATCCGTTGGGAGTGTAATGTACAAGACAAAGTTCGTGGAATGCCCCGTCGTCGATAATGTCCCCCGCCTCGCCGACGTCTTGTACACCGGGCATTCGTACGATGGCGTCTCCACTATTTCTGCCTACGGACAAGCAAGCGGATACTACAGTACAATTTGCCGTCGATGTGGCGATTTTTTAGTTAGTGCTGCTTGCGCTTTCCGAGTTAGTCTTGGTTACTATTTTTTGGCTGTTGAACATGTGCGCCTCTCAATTATAGAAGTACCTTACTGCAATGGCCCATTTTCTGTTTGATTAGTTGGATGCACGGCAGCCTTTGAGTTTCCTCACATATGCAAGTTACTAGTGAGTTTAAACTCAACATTATGCGAAGCTTGCTGACTCGAAATGGCTCAAAGAAAAGAAAAAGGCAAGTAAAACTCACAACTGGCTCGATCTTATTCCATGGCCAATGCCCCGATCCATCACAATCCAGAACTCGAATGTGCATAATTTTTCGTTTGCTATGGAACTAAATAGCTGTTATACGGTTACATCCACATCTTACCTTCTTGCAAGGAAGCAGAGTGATGACTGGAAGAGGATCATGAAGGACTTTTTGAAAGGGCTCCGCAAGTTTCCTCAACTTCCTGTCCCAACGGGCTCCTTCCAAATGTAAACCCTGTCCAAATGCATTTTTTTTTCAAGATTTGTCTCAATTTGAACCGAGGTATCAAAACGTATGAAGATCTTTGAGAACCTCCCTGGAATCCCTGATAAGAGGAGTCAGTTGTTGAACTAAACTTTAGCATTAGCTGATAGCTTTCTACTTGCCCATTCCTGCAAATTTTCATCCAGCCAATACAATTTTAAAAAATATTTATTGCCTGACTCAGCTATACTCAACTACATATGGTTGTGTAGGCAAAGAAAGAGCGAAACTAAATTGTGACCTGTTTTTTGAAAATATAAAATTGTATAAAGGGGGAGGGGAGGGAAATTCCTTCTGCTTAGGCAAAATTAATCTGAAGCGGTATAATACAAAATCAAACCCTTCTACCCATTGAACATTCTTCATATCGCCAAGAAAACAGAATTTCGCAATCACATTGAGACGCCCTTCAAGAAATTGAGCTGTAGTGCAACGTCTCGACTCACCTGGACGTAAGCACCATCCTCCAACTTCGTGGCATAAATGAAACACGTGGGAATCCTCCGTAATCGAGTTCAGAGCATTGAAAACAAAAGCATACAGGAGAAGGGATAATTACCCTTTTGATCGAGGGATTCTCTGCTGGGGCCGTGAGACGAGCCTCATGAGATGTCACGTGAAAGGTGAAGCTCAATTGATCGATTGGAATGCAGTATTTTCGAGCGAAGTTTTGCAATACCCCTGTCAAGAAACTCTGAGTGAAGAAGAAACCCGAAAACCAAAAAATCTTCGGTATCCCACCTTCTATCCAATTTCGGAAGAATTGGCATCTGAAAAAGAAAGAAATTGAAATCGTCATCTTGACGCAAATGAAGCAGCTGAGAAAAAGAGAAAGAAATGAGTGCAGTCCTGATCCTACGGTTCCAGGGTATTACTGGGGTTGGAAATTTTTTTTGTTGCTGCAAAGATGATGTAAATTTGAAATTAACAGCAACATGTTCTCAGTCATAAATTTTCAGACTTCCTGAGAGTACTTTTCTACGACAACTACTCGAAACCTCTGAATTTCAAGACAGTTTGCGGGAATGCCCTCAAATAAGTTCATATTCAGATGTGGCGAAATTTAGGGCAAGGTTTAACTTAATTCACCGCCTTTACAGCGGTCGTGGTCGAACTTTATACTGTGCACTACATTGAAGTCTTACTTGTGACCGATGCTGGTTACTTTGAAACTTCACAATTACGGACGGACCACAATTTGACAGATCGGTCTAAAATGCGGTTTGCGTCACGTGCATGAAAAAATCCATAACATTGAGCTGTGAGTAAAATAATATATTTTAATTCTTGTCAGATGACAGTGACAAAAAGCATCGGCCTCAATATCATTAGGTAGCCAAGTCTATCTTAATAACTTTCTATGCACGAAACATCAATTTTAGTGAGAATTGAAGGGCATGCTAAAACCATCTGGTAATAACTTGTCTTCCCAAGCTTCAGGAAGGGAAAGTGAATATTCTAGTGACCGTCCAATTGAAAACTAGGAGAAGTGATAGGTGCATATAGATCAGTTATTCACTTATAGAAATGCCACAAACTGCTCTCCTCAATGAAAGGAAAGGGGATCTTAGTACATTTAATCGAGTATTTCGTTTTATCTGAATTGTTTTGGTTTCTTTTTTTTGTGCAGTATGAAGGCCTGCCAGGAGAATGTCAATGAAAAGAAAGTACCGAGTTTTTTTTCCCTGGAATGTCTTCATACTAAAACATTTTAAGCTGCAAGAGAATGTCTCCTCCCTTTTGGCTGTAATGGTGATAACAGCCAATATTCTACACCACATCTTCTCTTGTGGCTAATACCACCTGATCGAGTCTGAGTGGATCTCGTACTCCAATGCAAGTGTTCAATGAACAAATCTATTGGTGATATTTTCTTAATCGATTGAAAATGTTCAATCGATTAAGAAAATTTTCAAATACACCTCGGTTGACTAATACGTGGCTATAAAGATGTGATAACCTTCGAACAAGATCACTGATGTAAGATCCCAATGGCTTGAGAGAAGGGTAAGACTTCCTTTGCCAGGCCAGTGGTACTCTCCCGACGAGGAGGGAATTGAACACTTCCTCCAGGTCAGATGACATCAGCACAAGCCCTTTGATGGCCCGACATAATTCTTCTAAACTTGCTCGGATTGTCGCCAGGAGACGGTTGTACCTGGTCACCTCCTGGAAAGATATACTATTGCCAATCATGGTTCCGTCTTTCAAGAAACTTTTTACTCTCACTAATTTGACGAGAATGTTCTTGGTGTAAACCTCCATCGAAGATGACACTGTCACCTTCAGATTTTGTGGAGTCATCGAATAAACACTCGTCAGGCTGTGGCTCCCAGCACCATGCCAGTCCCATCCGACAAAGTATGATAATATTACTGCAAGATATACAGGGTCAATACCCTCTCTGAATTATTGGACTAGGCACTTCCTTGAACTGCTTCACATGCCAGTTAGAGGAAGCAAGAACCAGCGTTCTAGAAAAACGGTCCTTTTATGGGGGTTCACCACATGTGCCATGACCGCACGCATCTTTAAGCTTCTCCTGCGGTGCCACAACAAACTATCGCAACTATGGCGAAAGACAGCCTCCAACAGAAAAAAAAAACGGAATTACTTGCCGGGCTACTTTCAAGTGGGACACCCTGTACTTCGTCATTGAGAAAGTGCACAGAACGCAATCTCAACATCGGCAGTAATACGCAGAAAATAATAAAAGTGACTGAAGGGCATGCGAAGGGTGAAAAATGAGTGTGCATGTACTGGAGGTGCATGCTCAGCAGTACTTCTTCATCCCCTTCCAGGAGAATCGCGTAGTACTCGTAAGAGTGTGCAGGCTCTTCATGTATCAGATATACTGTACTATCAAGTGCGTGCATATGCGCTTTGTCGAGGGATGCATTAGTCCTGTCACCTGAAAGTCTCTTGAAGTCGATACACCCTACTTTCAAATTCACCCAAACTTACTCTGAAACTTCTTTCAACTTTCTTGATTGCAAGGTACTCATATCCAATGGGAAGGTATCGACTGACCTTTTCTCAAACCCAACTGATTCTCTTCCATATCTTCACTTCCAGTCCTCTCTCTTATAATAAAAAAACTATCTCCCTTATAGTCTTGCAATTCGCCTACGTCGCATTAGCTCTGAAGCATCTACTTTCTTGATGAGCTTAGAGGAACCAAAAGGTTTTCTTCTCATAAGTGCTTACGCTTCAACCCTAAAACTAAAAGCATTCGTAATTTAATTCATGTGAAATTCTAGGAATTTGAAAATTTTCGATGGTTTTAAGGAGCTGTTCCTCAACCCACCCTTAATAGCCTCTAAGGTACAGATGAACCTCAAATTCGTTCACTCGTCATTAAAACCTATTACTGACGCCCCACCCACCCTCGGTTTAAACTTTCGCAATTCTCCCAAGTGTCCCATTCACACTTACGCTCCTCAAGCTACAATCTTTCCCTCTTTGGTCACTAATGCCACTAGCCATCAGTAGTCGGAAAGAGCCACCATAGTGTTATGAAAGAATCTGTCCCGGAACTTTTTGATCAGACCTCTTATGTTCGCTTGACACAAGACGAGCAACGTACCTTTCAGTCTTCGAGGGAACGCGAGTATAACATAAAACTTCGTGGACTCCATGTTCTAGTTGAGGGGGGGGTTACTAATATTGGGTGTTGTGCGTGAGAGCGAGCGTAAATTACGAAATTTCCGATGAATGGACTCTCCACAAGTCCAATACACAGGTAATGAGTAAAACATTGGGAGCAGAATGTGAACATCACCTGTTTGAGGACAGTGTTCATGGATTCAGAGTACGTGATGGGGAAGGATGCTTCGACTTCTTTGATGTTGAATTCAATGGGTAGTTTGACCAAAATATCCGTGGCAAGTTCTAGGGCCACAGCCGATGGGGACTTTTGACCTTTGCTCCGACCTATTTCCAGCCGCTGAGGTTGAGTCAGCAGAAGCCCATTCAACAGCTGTGAAACAAACAAAGGGTGGAAAGGGAAGTTATTAGACTTTACCCATTCGGTAGTCTTCTTCTGTCATTATGGTTACATGTCAATTGTATTGTGATGCTCGCGAGGCTCTGATGATACCAGACACTGACGCGTCACTAAGCTGAGAAGTATGGTGAGGATGCATAATAACCTTTAATAACCTTTTCTTACATGAATACCGGGCTTTTAATTCCAAATGTTTCTATTGAGAGCGGAAAAAATATCCTTTCAGTATTTTCTAATGATTTGAAAGATGAAGAGGAAGTTGAAGCGAAAGCAATAGAAAAGGGCAGGATGGAACCTTCCATATCTCATGATAACCAGTACCTGATCTGTTTCTTGATTGTCCTTGGTTATTTCAGCGTTTTGATGGAGACCGAAGACGTCGGGCTTCGACGAAAGAGGAAGAGATCGGATATACCTCAGATATCCATCGTAATCTTCGGAATCGGGGCAGTAGTAAGTACCTTCACCTGCCAAGTCGTACCTGTAATGGAATATAGTGATTGCATGAGAAGAAATTGCTCATAGCTAAGTATCATCTACAGTGCTAGCCAAAAGTCTCTCCCCACACCTCAGAAAGTTCTAGAACATTCTGGAACTTCCATGAGACCACTAGCATCGCTAGCCAGCCGTTCCTCGAGAAGGGAGGTCGAGGAATGGCTGGCTAGCGATGCTAAGAAGAACCCTAAGGCAGTATGCTAGTGGTAGGTGTCAACGGTCGATCGGGCCGCTAATGAACGAAAAGAAGGAGTTGATTGCAAGTGATAAGGATATGGCCAGTATACTTAACGAGTTCTTCGCTTCCGTTTTCACTGTGGAATCCGACTCGGCACCGACTTTGGAGGAGGTGACCTCGGCTCGCATCGAGGATATTTCCATCACCGAGGAGACGATCGTGAATATGATAGGGAAG